AGAATTTTAAACATTTGAATTTGTCGTCATATAACGTTCGACGAAACGATTGTTTTTCATGGGGGGAGGGGGGGGTAAACTCGTCGGTTTTACGCGGTTTTAACGTATGTTTACGTTAAAATTTAAATCGACTGTCAACTATTCAATAGACTAAACAAAATTGCGAACGGCTCGCAGCAAAAAAAAACTAATTAAACTCGAGCGCGCGTACCTGGTTTGAAGAAAAACGAAGAAGTACGTTTCACATGTTTAATACAATTAGAAGAAAAATCGGAAAATTTCGACAGTGACGTTTTTTTTTTCTCTTATCGATACTAAAAAAAAAAATGTGGATGACTAAAGGGAAAACGGAAAGGAAACCGAAATGCGGTTGCGATCCAAATTTAAATTTTAAATTTGTTTTAAAACAAAACATTTTTCTTTTTTTTCAATAAGAATAAAATGGATTCGTTCTGAGAAATTGAATTATTGACGTTGAATCATCATTATCATCATCATCATTATGGCGTTAGTAATTTGTTTTTTTAATAAAAACACAAGGTGATGGAATCTCCAGTTCATTGTCAATTTGCGAATGGATTGATGAGAACGTCTGAAAAAAAAAAAAAATTATTTATTTATTGCGAGCATATATATATATATATAAATTGTCGATGTTGACAGACAAGTTAACGTATGAGATTTAAATAAAAATTGACGTATTATCAATATTATTATTATTATTAGTATTTTTACACTATAAGACGGTGACCGATCCGTTTGTCAATCGTGAGTAATCGCAATATTAATAATAATTAAAAAAAATGAATGAATGAATGAATGAGAGATTTTTTATTAATCTCGTGATGACAATAATTCAAATCGTTTGAAATTTTTTTTACGGAAATAATAATAAAGACATTATCATTATTATTATTAGTATTATTATTACGTTTTCGTAATTAGTAATTAAAGCAAGGTCAGGCTTACGCAAAAACATTTTTTTTTTTTTTTCGGTTTCTCTTACTATTGAAATAAGTTTGTTTGGTCTCATGTAACTAAAAAGAACGAGAGAGAGAGAGAGAGAGAGAGAGAGAGAGAGACCGGTTTTTACCGACTTGTGTTGTTGGAAAGAGAGAGAAAGAGAGAGAAAACCGGGGAAACTGGGTTTGACCGTCTAAACTCGACCGTTGTCGAGAAAGACAAGGTTAAAAGAAAAAAAAAAATGGCCGTAAGGTTTTCTGCGTAAGAATTCGGAGCGTACGATCGACGCAACAACAAACACACACAATCGTGTGTGATGATGGATGGTAAATTATTTTTATTGGAATATAAAAGGCGAGGAAGAAGAAGAAGAAGAAGACAAAGACGACGACGACAATGATGATGATGATGATGATTCTCTTTCATTCTGCCCACGGAACGACGACAAAATTGTACAAATTTGTCATTTATTAAATAAATCGTCGTTTAATAAAACGTTTATTAAAACGAAGGAAAATTAATTCGGGGAGTGACATAATTGGTGAAAGGAAGAGGAAGAGGAGGTGGTGGTGGTGGTGAGAAGATGTAAAAGAAGAAGAAGAAATTTTTTTGTTTCGGGCCGTTATTATTATCACGAGAGGACTAACGTCATCACCGATGGCATTAATGGCGCGGAGAAGAGGGGACCTACCTAATCATAGTTTGAGAGATTTTAATAATAAAACGTTACGATTTTTTTCGGTTGGAACTTAACACAACTTACGTAACGCGGTCGCCATTTTCGGTGATGGGTAAAAATAAAAATTCATTTCGTCGTCACGTTCAAAAAAAATGACGAGAACATTGGAATTTCATTCATCGTCGTCGCGCCATGTTTATTTTGCGCCCTTAAAAATTAAATTTCTGCTTGAACGCGAGGGTTCATTGTCTGGTAGATAGCTCGGTAGGTAGGTAGGCAGGTACATTTGTGACAAATAAGGGCAAATGTGTCATCGTCGTCGTCGCCCTCACGTCCGGCGCCTATGGTCTTCTCGCTAAAATACAAAATGTCCGAATCGTTTTTTGAATGAGATTAAAAGGAAGGAAGGAAGGAAAAAAAAATTGTAACGAATGTAACGGCCATGTGTGGATGATGGAAGCTCATCCATTTTTCTTTTGTTTATTCGATTCAAATTTTTGGATGAAGAGGAAAAGTAAAAAACCAGACGCGTTGAATTTAAATATCGAAGAAGAAGAAGAAGAAGATGATGATTACGAAACAGACGAAATTATTAAAAATTTGGATTTTATGGCGTTGTTTGCCCACGTTGAGAAAAAAAAAAAAAACGAAATTTTTGCTGATGGAGTCACCGCGGATCCCTGTTTTTTGACCTGACGTTGATGACCGTTTAGTCATTTATATTTTCTTCTTTAATGGCGACTGACTTTTGACTTTGGCGAGAGTGAGAGAGAAAGAGAGAGAGAAGACCAAATTTAAAGTTAAAATTTTGTAAAATAATGTTGTTTTTTTTTTAACGACAAATTTTGAAATAATGCAACGTTGTTTTGTTTGAAAATAATAATAATAATTATTTGGTAAAAACGAAAACAAACAAACAAACGATAGGAAATAAATAAAATCCGACGATCGGATTTATTATTATTACGTAACAAACAAACGATGTGTGGCACAATGCGAATTAAATTCTTTTGAAAATTGTTTAACATTGAAAATTGAAACGAGTGGAAAAATTTCTTTTCTTTTTTTTTTTTTTTTGGGGGGGGGGGCGAACCAAAAAGGAGAAAAGTCTTTTGTGACTTGAAAACGAAAACATTTTTTTTTTCTCTCTCTCTCTCTTAATAGACAAATTCGGTAAATTACAAAGTGTCAGGTTTCCGATAATAATAATTAAAACATTTAAAAAAAAAAAAAAAGTGCAAAAGGTCATTGACATTGACTGAACAAGATTTGTTTGTTTCTTTCCTTTCTGGACGAAAAAAAGATCGATTTATTATTATTATTATTATTATCCACCATTAAACACGACAAGGCTACTTGTCGGGGTTTTCTTTTAAGTATTTATCCGAGGTTTCTACCCGATTCCTTAGGGACAAATACTCGAATTTCGGTGGTGCCACTTATTATAAGATAGCACCACATCAATTCTTGAAGGTCTTCCTGAGTGAGTTTATTATTATTATTATTATTATTATTATTATTATTATTATTATTATTATTATTATTATTATTATTATTATTTTATTATATTCGTTGAATATTTGGAAATTTTGTTCGAAATATTATTATTATTAATATTATTATTATTATCGTTGTTGAGTAATTTTTTTCTTTTGGTTTTCAAAGAAATTTTAATAGCATAAGGGGGAAAGGGGGAGGGAGGTGGAGGTGGGGTCGGTCACATTTTGATTGCGTTTAATTGCGTAATTGATATTGTTATTATTAATTAATCACGTAGAAATTTATTTTCTTTCTCTCTCTCTCCCCCCTCTTTCTCTCTTTCTATTTTTGGCGGGAACTTGATCTCGAATTCCTTTTTTTTTTTTTTGTCGAAATACCGAGAAAAATGTGTTTGGTTCGAAATGGGAAAAAAAATAAAATAAAATGTTTATTAATAATAATAATAATAATAATAATAATAATAATAATAATAATAAAATTCAAGGTTTTCTCCGGTAATGATGATTCGATCGTGGGCCGCACACACAACAACAACAACAAAAACAACAAACAACAACAACTCGTTATTCAAGGTAGGCCACGTGCCATCGATTCTTCCAGAGTCTCGGGAAAAAAAAATTTTTTTTCATTTTTTGTAAAAATTGGAGAAAATTTTTTTTCCCCCCGGAAAAAAATTGAATTTTTACGGGAGACTTTTCTCGAGTGATTTTCCCGACGGGTGATGACGTCATCGTCTGATAGTCTTTAAAAGGTTTCGTTTATTATCATCATCGTCATTATCGCAGTGTTATGTCATATATTGTTAGTCAATTTAACTTAATTTCCTTCATAAAAGGCATCAAAAAGAAAAAAAAAAAAAAAAGAATTTTATTATTATTATCATTATCATTATCATCATTATTTTTTTTTTTGACGATGAAAGACTTTAAAAAGCCTTTCGGCGATTGGTACGATGAGTTTCGTGGGTGCGTGGGTCGTTGCTCGTGTTTTCTTTTTCTTTTTTTTTTTTTTTTTTAATCAATGGCAAAGTTTCGTTTTTTTTTTTTAACAGGAAGAAAATAAACATTTTGAATTTTACTTGATGTAAAAAAAACAAATAAAAAAAAAAAAAAAGACGAACGGGAGGCAAGCAGGCAAGCAGGCAGGCAACCAAAAGTCTAAAAAAAAAAAAAAAAAACAAATAATAATAATAATAAAATTCCATCGGAGTATCTGGAAAATTTTTTTTTTTTTAAATTTTATTTATATATTCGCAGCGGTTCCCCGACAGCGGCGGCAAAACGGAAATAGATCTATCGAACGGCTTTGATTTTTATTATTATTATTATGATATAAAATTATTCCCAACGTAACGTGGCGGCAGATGTTTTGTCAACACATTCGGTGAATGAATGTGAATGGAGTGAATTGTATATAAAAAAAAAAAAATTCGGAATGTTTTTAAAAGGAAAGAAAGTTTTTAGTTTTTTAGGCTTGGCAAACGATTGACCTACCCCGAAAGGTAAAGGTGTGACCGTTATAAGTTTAACGAGTAGTAGTCATCGTTTGATATGGGTCCATTTAAAACGGTCAAACAATTGAAAAAATTAGGGGGAGGAATGCGAAAATAATAATAATAATAATAATAAGTATAAGTACGAATCTCATTTGAAATTTTTTCTTACCTGCCGGATAAAATTTTTTTTGTTAAATAATTTTTGCATTGTTCAGAATTGTATTGTTAAAAAAAAGGTTGAAAAATCTCTAACGTTTCCGCCATTTTTTTTTTTTTCAATGGAGAGGATATCACTTGATGAGAGCGAACGTGGAGTTTAAAGTTTTAAAATTTAAAATTTTTTTTTTGGTCGTTGCAGATGATATGATTGCCACTGACCCTAAAATGAAGAAAGACGCCGAACGAGAAGCCCTACGGGCTGTCATACAACAATGGAATGCCAATCGTCTGGATCTCTTTGAATTATCCGAGCCCAACGAAGTAAGTAAAATTGGGGTTAATATTTAGGGGTGAGTGGTGAAGGAAAAAAAAAAAATCTGCGATGCGTGAAGTTTCCTGGTTTTTTACTACATACGACTTACTTACTCACTACATTTCGGGTGTAACATATTCTCTGTCTCACTCACTATATTTGCCGGTAACTTGTTTGGTCAAGGCTGAGTGAAAAAAATAGTAGTAATAATAATAATAATAATAATAAGAAAAACCCCTGTTGTCTCGTGGGAAAGATTTATTATAAAACGAGGAAAGGGGGAGGAGCTATGGGGTATGGTTTCCGTAAAATTATTTCCTGCTGGAGAAGTCAGTCAGTCAGTCAATCAGAATACGATTTCAAAGAATAAATTTAAATTCCATTAATTGACATGATTGTTTTCATTATAACTGGTGACGTCATTAAGGGGGGGGGGGAAATTGAGGGGTGAGAGGTCGTTGTGCGAATCGTTGAAAACCATTAGGCAATCATCCCGTTTTTTTTTTAAATATGGCGTACGAAAGTAAAATTTGAATTTTTTTTTTTGAGAGAGAGAGAGAGAGTTGCGTTCACGATTTGTTAATTACATTTTTGTTTTTTTTTTTTTTTCTCGTTTGACCTTTGAACTATCAGTCTATTATTATTCACCTGTCAGCGTCGTGCACAAAAACCGCCAAATTTTTCGCGCTGAACTTTCTCACCCTGTTGAAAATAAATCTTATCTTTTAAAAAAAAAAAAAAAAAACTTTAAAACAAACATAATTATTTATTATTATTTTTAAATTATGACTTAAAGGGGGTTGAACAATGAAATAATGACGATAATAATGATAATAATAATAATTCAATCTTAATCCATCGCATTTAGATAAAAAAAAAAAAAAATATTGTTTAGATATTCTTCGTAGGGAGTTTTATCGAGTGCAAACTTCCTGTTGACGATTATGACGATGATGATGATGATTTCAATAGGAATACTGTGTAACACCTGACTTTGTTTCTCATCATGCCGACCGTGACAGACACCGGTTTTTACAAAAAAAAAAAAAAAAATTTTACTTTTCCTACTTCTACTACCACTACCACAACTACTACTACCACTACAGCTCATTCGTGCGTTTAATGAATATTTTACCGAAGAGTTTATTCGTGTGAATAACAAAAAAGGAAATTGCCGACGTCGTGTCAATAATTCGATATTTTGTAAAATTCTCTCTCTCTCTCTCTCTCTCTCTCTCTCTTCTGTCGTTTTCGGGTGAAAAAACTCTGTCGATGGAGATGTTTTTTTTTTTTATATAGGTTGCGTGAGTTTTAGGTATTCATTTCGACGAGTTTTGTAAAAAATATAATAATAATATTGATGTGAGCGCAATGACACAAATCGATGTCCGATGGTATTATTTCCAAAAGTTGAAAAGTTGACCACCGTGTGCGTGCGTGCGTGTGTGCGTGCGTGTGCGTGTGTATACACAACGACTCATTCACGCTCCAGTAAGATATAAATAGACCGATTCATTATTACTGTTTAAAAAAAAAAAAAAAAAAGTTAAATGAAAGAAACGAAACGACTATGAGATTTGTTTACTTAATTAACAATTTTATTTATTTTCGTAATTTTACACATAACGGAAGTTATCGACGTTCCCTTCGATCCGTTCATTTTTTTTTTTTTTTTACTTCTTGTAATAAATAATGTGATGAGGAGTGGTGGTAGTAGTAGTAGTAGTAGTAGCAGCAGCAGTCGTCGTCCTGTCCATAACGAAATTAATGCCAAAGAATCGACTTCTTGTTATTGGCAAAATGATTGTGAATGAACGTGTCGAAATGTGAAAAAATATACATGCGTGCGTGCGAGTACACGGAGGGGGGAAGGGGAATACCTTTTGGTATTTTTATTTATTTTGTAACGGTTTCACGTCGATAAAATCCAAATTTTTTTTTTTTTTTTTTTTTTTACTCATTCTACCGTCGCATATTTTTAATGCCGTAATATTTTTACTCGTAATTAGCTTTAATCGACGTAATAAAAACTGGAAACGTCAAAGGAAAAAAGGAAAAGAAAAACGAGATTATTTAATAATGGAAATTGCGAGTTTCGAAGAAAGAAGAAACCGGTCGATCGATCGATGGATGTAAAATATTAATTATGCTGGAGAATTAATATTCGGTAGCAGAAGACAAAAAAAAAATTATTTTAATTTTATTTATGCGTTTCACTTGGAAAGAAAAAACCAACAACAACAACAACAATCTCGGAATCGGCCATGCCTTTTTTTTTTGTTTGTTTGTTTGTTTGTAAAATTTCAGGTCAAAGCACTCCTTAACAACCAAGAAAAAAAAAATTATTATTATTATTATTTATTTTTTGGGTTTGCGATTTTAAAAAAAAAGGCGAAAATTTTTTTTTTTTGGGGGGGGCATGGGGGGTTTAAAATTTTGTTTTTGTTTTGTAATTAAATTACTAATAAGGAAGGAATTGATGGTGATATTGGTGGGTTTTGTTGTGCGCGTGCGTAATAAATATTTCGTTTGTACTCAAATGATTTTTTTTTCCAGAACCTTGAATTTCACGGGGTTATGAGGTTTTATTTTCACGATTCCGGTCAAAGGATCGCCACCAAGTGCATAAGAGTTGCTTCCGATGCCACCGTGACAGCCGTCATAGAAACTTTAATCGAGAAATTCCGTCCGGACATGAGAATGCTTTCGGTACCCGAATATGCTTTGTATGTCACGCACGAGAACAGAGGTAAGTTTTTTTTTTACTTCTTTTTCCGCCGGTTCGGTACTCGAAACGACGTTAAAAATCTCTATTGTTTTTGTTTAGACGAAAGAAGACTGAATCCGGACGAGAAACCTCTGTTGGTACAATTGAATTGGCACAAAGACGACAGAGAGGGAAGATTTTTACTCAAAAGAATAGATGACAAAACGAAAGTAAGAAAGAAAGAAAAATAAAAATAAAAGAAAATTCGTCGAGGTAAAATTTGTCGTTAATT